AGAATACAATAGATTTTCTGAATACATTACATCGATAGAGTGCTATATAGGTCCTCCCATTTAGTAACATGGTTTAATAAAAAATATCTGAGTGAATGTATTTTAAAATGTATCAATATTATTGTAAATAAATGCTTACTTTTATTTCCTGTTTTTAATTATTTCAAAATTCATTTTATATCCAAGAAAAGAATATTTATTATTTATTTTCAATGGTGTAATATTTTTCCTATATATTTTAATTATTACAAAATTAATGTACAGAAGCTTGAGCTAATTGGTGGATTAAAATAAAATTACTTCTTGTTCTATACGTTTGCTATGATGCTTCATCTTAGGTCCCGAACAAATGGCCCAACATTTGGCTAACCTTTTTGACCCACCTTTTTACCAGTTCTCCCAAGTCTGTTGGGCCATGGGATCCCTGTGGTAATATATCCCAGCATGCACCAGCCTTCAAAGCAAGTTACCCTTGGAACGCCTGTCAGTGTTTGCGTTTCACGAACTTTTGCTATTTATTGCTGCAGAATATTGGGCAAAGAAATGACGGGGAACATTGAATTATTATCTGTTCTTGAAGGTAAATGACAGTAAATGCATTGATATTAAACGGAGGAAGTTTAACTTTATGGTATGCTGCTTGTATGCGGCTATCATAAACCCGTGAAATACATTTTAGCTTATTTAGAACGCTGTTGTATTCCGGGTGTATTACAATCCAATTCTTTTGTTTTCTATTGTGTTTATCCRACTTTTAAACTCTAATTAGTACACTYTGTTTCATGGGTTTGTAAAAACCACTCTAAAATCTCCACTCTCTGCATTATCCCGTGATCCAACATTTTATATCCTACTCCAGGTCATGAAGACAGAGTATGGTGTGTTGCTTGGAATCCCACAGGAACAGTACTTGCAAGCTCTAGTGGTGACAAAACAATATCCTTAAATTGACTCTATATGCTTAAGGTCTTGTTTCCTGCATATGGCAGGGCATGAATTTAACGCTTGCAAACTCGCAAAACGCTGGTGAAAKTTTGTATTAAGTGAGTGACAAAAGATTTAACTAGCTAAATTTTGCGGGTATGACCATAGTAAGACTATTGAAGGTTTTCACGGCAGCCCTGTTGGTGGAACTTAACAAAAGAATTGTCAATTAATTCTTTTGTTACATCTTCCAACATGGCTATTTAACTGAACAAAAGAAAGTGTGCAAGGGAGTCTGGTAGTAGAAGTCRATGATGCCATCATGCAAATGTCTCAAAATGGAATTGCCAAATCAAAATGTAACATATGGAAGCTTCAAAATTGCAAAAGATGTTATAAAAATGTCATGTAATAAGGCAAGTATAACKGTATTTGTGCAAACTTGAGTCTCAATGAATGTAGAGTAGAGTGCAAACAATTAATCCGTGAAACACTAATTACTAAATAGTACGAAATAGTGCTAGTTAAACAATAGAAAACAATGGAATTTGCTTGAAATTGTGCTATTTAGTATTACTAAAGTTTCACGGTTATATTGTTTGCACTCTATGAGAAMTCAGTAGCATACAGGTTCTACTTATTATGATTTCTTGACTTCGTTTGAACATCCGCATATGGGGCAAAGAAGGTGACAAATGGATGTGCAAGACAATTCTAGAGGATGGACATCAGAGAACTATAAGATCAAGTGAGATTTTTTWAAAAATATCTAACTAAACTTAATATGTGCGTGGAAAGCATTTGTAGTCTGAGCTGATAATCTGCAGCCACTTCTGATCAATGTCATGTGGGCTTGGTGTTGCATGGAGTATAAGAGTTGATCTGTCCTGTGATTCAAGGTTTTTTTCCTGGGTTCTCTGGTTCAATTTAATTCCTTTCTCTGCAAAAATAAACTCTTTAAATTCAAAGTTGATCTTGGCATCAGCATCAAGTGCTTTGGTTAATAGCCTGTGATCTGGGAGTCTGAGCAATCACTCTCTGCTTGTTCAGTTTGATGTAAGATAAATTACATCTTCATTTTTCTACAACCGAAAAACCTCTATTTGGTCTTTTATTCAACAATTATTYGCCTCAGTGCTCAGTGATTATCTATAAATATTTACTGATTTTGCTGCTCGAAGACCCCTGGCTCTGTAAATATTATATTATGAATATAAATATATAAAGTTGTGTTGTTAAATTATATTAGCATAGGTACGTATATCAATCAATTTTTATGCTTTATATTTTTTTAACCAATATTTTATATTATTTCATAGTATATTCTTTACACAAGGTTTTATATTGTAAAGTGCATTGAGGTCTTTTTGAAATGTGCTTACTAAGAATATTATTAAAAATAAATAAATAAATATATATATGATATTCACTGATATTCACTTTTGGGAATAATGATTGTTTTGATGTCACTACACAGGTGATTATTTGAATGAAAATATAAAACATGGGTTTATTTCTAAAAGAGATGTTCATGAACCATTAATAAATTATCATTTATTTTAAAAGTGGCATGCATCAACGTACAGTTTAGTTTGCAATCATATATTACTCTGTATTATCAAGAAATAATCCAAAAAGTTTTTGACCAATCAGTGGTCGCAATGTTCTCAAATCACCTGGGTAATGATACTTACGTCATTATTTATTATGTAATGAATTTGAGATTGTTTTTGCTTTAAAATAATTGGTTCATTTTTCAATTTCTCAAATTATGAATATTTAATTCATTTCCCGTTTAGTTGCTTGGTCACCCTGTGGAACATACCTCGCTTCAGCAAGCTTTGATGCAACRACTTGTATATGGGACAAAAAAAGTGGAGGTTTGTAAATGGAGTCTCTCATATTATTTAAAAAATACAGTACATGTACAGACTGTATATTGTGCAGTATTCCTAGACACCATCCTTTTTCTTCTCCCATCCTCTTTCTGTACAGAGAACTGTAGAGAACGCGCTTTAGATCCAATGATTAGTATGAGAATGAATATGAGTACATTTTATTTATTTATTTATTTTTTATTTAGTTATTAGCTTTACAACTAGTAATTATTTACAAAATAAATTAAGAAAAACACAAGTTAAGTGAAAGAACGACAGGACAAGAGTCCCATAWAAAGTTCCTCCAAAATAAACATTTTACAAACGTTTTAACCATGCATCGTGCACAGGACCAATTTTAAAACTGGTGCTCATTCACATACTCATCGTCTGTTTTAAAGATCACTAATAYATGTATCCACCTGTCTGTCAGACAACCTGTTCATTAGTCCATGCATCATGTACTGAAATATCCATCATTACCATCATCCCATTACACCTAATAGACATACAGGGCTGAGATCAGGGCCTTTTGTTAATTTTGTTGCCAGAAAAATCAAAAGAAAAGTTAGGCTACCAAAATGATCAAAATGAAAACCCTTTTCATTTCACAACCTGAAACAGTGAAAATCAAGCAGGGAAAATACTGTAGTGAACTTTGCCCATACAGTATTTATTTGTTATAGCAATATTGTAATTCCCTTCTTTTGCCAATAGTTCACATTCTAGTTCGTTTACAAAATGCTGCTTTGAAACAAAAAGATTTATAAACTT